CAGCTCAGATCAACCTTGGGCTTCCAGTTTCCCAGCTCTGCCTAGGTGTGTCGATCCTCCGGCTCCACCTCAAGCCTCCGAGCCCCGGACTCCACCGGGGGGGGGGGGGGGGGGGGGTGGGATGAGACATTCTGATTATTTAAAGGAGCTGTATGTAAGACTTTATTTCAATTAATCATAAAATGTCCCTGATATGTCACTAGACATTAAGAAATCATGTACATTTCAAATACTTATATCACTGACAACAGTAGTCCGGCCAGGATATTGTCATTTAAAAAGTGAAGTTGCAGCCCTCAACTGATGTTGATGTTGTCATGTTGTGTTTTGGGTGGGATGAGACATTCTGATTATTTAAAGGAGCTGTATGTAAGACTTTATTTCAATTAATCATAAAATGTCCCTGATATGTCACTAGACATTAAGAAATCATGTACATTTCAAATACTTATATCACTGACAACAGTAGTCCGGCCAGGATATTGTCATTTAAAAAGTGAAGTTGCAGCCCTCAACTGATGTTGATGTTGTCATGTTGTGTTTTGGTCTGATGCTCCTCCCTCCACCTATCTACCAATCACGAAGTCAGTAGTGTTGCGGCATCCGGGTTGCCAGCTCTGCTCTAGTTACCACAGCTGCAGGTCGTCACGTTTCTGCTGGATCCTGCAGCCTATCTGGCAACCTCGAGTCAGGGAGGAGGGGGAGGGGATACACCGCTCTACAGTAATTTGAAAGTGATTGCAGTACCAGTTTTGACCACAATCTTACATACGGCTCCTTTAAGAAATAAGATCATAGATTTTGACAAATGTTGTAATTAGGCTCAATAAAGAAGGCACAGATGTACTTTAATGGGACAGAAATAATATAGTGGCGTCAGCATATAAAGCTAATTTGTTCAAAGATCAAAAATAAAACAAAGATTTTGGTTATCGGGTTTATAGGTAAAGATAAAAAAGAAAAAAAACAGGGGCGATGAAAAGCTTGGCCGTTCAGCCACCTGACTAAACTGGAACTCCTGTTGTTGTATATTAATTTGTCTTTATGAATGATTATTCAGTCTTTCTTGCATTTTTACATTTTATTGATATTATGTTTTCTGTATAGGCTAAGTGATTCACTCATTACAAATATGAATATGTCTCATTAAAATTTCGTTGCTTTTACACCCACACTAACTCACTGGCTGGTAAGGACATGTTTAGACAAATTACTTTGTCACTCCACATTTCATGCCTATTTCATCAAACCACCCACAGAAATCTATTTCAGCTTAGTATAACCCCTATAATATCGAGGCATATGTTTGTAAGTGGGAAGTACTAGAATAAATAAACAGTGGGGGTTAGCTGCGGGGGCACCTATGTGCAGAATTATGCAATATTCCCAGTTTGCAGGAACATTTATCACAAATGGAGACAGTAGACATGACATGAGCTAATAGAGCAGCATTGCAAGTGGCAGAACAACCTAAAGGAGAGACTGTGTCCCAGAAAAACTGCAGAAGGAAAACCTCAACAAAGCCACTCCGGATGCGGTTAGACAGATGGAGCAGGATAATGTGACTAATGAAAACATGGTTATGGGAACTGTAACTGTTGGTAGACAAATGTATTTTTTATTGCAGATATTGCACAGTATATTGGATAGTTATTATATAAGAGTTCTGAAATGTAGTTTCAAAAGTACTGGGACATTTCACTGTTTGTATGAATTCAGCATTACATGGTGAAGTTTTTACAGTAATTTGTACTGTAAACTTCGTTACAGCAGTGAGTTATTGAATCACTCAACCAACCAAAAAAAACTGAGTAATCCAGTAACAAAAACCCACTACTGTGTGTTGCTCAGAGACACATCACACCATGCCTGGTTGATTATGCTTTGGATTTGTTTGGAACTATTTTTGTTTACAAACCCTGTTAGCATTAATGTCTTGTTTACTGAATTGTTGGATAAAATTATCATTTTACTTTCAGCATTCAGTTGAAGACAGAGCATTTGCTTTACCTTAAAGAGAGAATATATTATAGTTTTGGAGCTTTGTTGGCTGAACATTTTCCTGCCATAGAGCTACAGTCTAGGGACAAATTCGCTGACAAATGCCATTTTTGTGGTGAACAAGAAATAAAGAATGGAGCAGTACATAAAGGTTGTGTTTTTAATCCTGTGGAAATATGATTACAGTTTTTCTCAATTGCTAAAACACTAAAACCCATTGGCTGAACACAGTTCTCAGTTGCCTGAACTCATTTAGCTAATTGTGCAGTCTGTTGTCAATACCTTAAACTATTTCACATGGCAAAACACAATTTGCAGATCTTACTTAGACTTTTCAGCAAAACGCTAAACACATTCTCATTCTCAAAACATATTCTGCACTGTAATGCACACGTCATCCATACTGGTAAACACAAGTGGCAATGATCAAATACAAATAGAGAACAAATGTCATTGATTGAACACAACCACTCAAAATTGATTTAACCTGTTTCAAATGATGCCCAAAGACAAGAAGAAGCACACTGATCACGTTTACTCCTTTGATTTTTGTCCCTTTTAGTATTGTATACTGTAGTACAGTGCATTGTAGGCTGTATACTGTACAATTAACAAATTATATGGCCCCGAACATCGTTACTGTAACAGTACCATTTGTTACAGTACTGAATGCTCAATAGATTTTACTGGTTGCACTTGCAGGTTCATATCAACAAAGAACAAGAATTACAGTATCAAACAATAGAACTGACAAAGGAGAAGTTTGTGAGATGCAGGGCACTGTACTGTAAAAATAGGGGTACAAGGAGGAAGAACAAATAAAATTGCAAAGAGCAAAGCAGAGTAGTAATTTCTGATCAATTTTGCGCTACTATGATGTTTTCATTCATCAAAAGACAATGACGGACAAATATGAAATTTGTTTTAAGATTAAAAATGTACTTCTCCCTGAAATTTTGATGGTACAGTAATGTGTCACGGGTAAGTCTACAAACAGTATAGCCGTCCGTAGATATCTTTCGAGAACTGTATGTTTTGAACAATGTGTTTTCTATTTTTTGGTGTATTGTTTACTGACTGCTTGATAGTGTATATCATTTTGATCACTTTGTCTATGATTTGAGAGCAGTGTTTGATTTTGAACACAAGTAAAACTGTTTTGAGGCGAAAGTTTCATTTTGCAAGAAGAGTCAGAGGTTTTGTAAATAGTGCTTGAAGATGAGGTTTTGTGTTTAATGTTTTCAGAAAAAGGAGCAAGGATTCAGACATTGTGTTTTAGCAATTGAGAAAAACTGTAAATTCAACCCCATGGGTTTTTCTCCAAACTTCAGTGTGACAATTACACTGCCCAGTGAATATAATGACAAACTGTATGCTTCTTGCTCTTTGCCCGGTGCACCCACAACATAAATAGAGGATTTGGCAAGTATTCACAAATTGGCAAGTATAAAACTTCTTCCCTTGCAAAAAATATCCCATGTGTGGATCACAACACTTACAGCTCATTCAAGACAAAATAGGCAGATGGTTAGTCTGGTGTGGAATTACTATTACTATTTATTTAGAAAACAAATCCAAACCAGTGTGTACAGTAAAACAGATTTTTTGACAGATGTTTAATATACTGTATTACAATGAAACAGCTTCGGATGTGTTTGGCTCCACTAATCTTTGCAATATTCTAAAAATACATTCTACTGTTTACTGTCAAGTGTGTCTATTCTCTTCCGTTCTCTAAAAGTCTTTCTGGGAATCAGTGACAGAGAGCTAACAGAGAGCTGAGATTTACTAAAGTTACACATTTTTCAGTCCTCCTTTTAAAGAATTACAGATATATTGTCTCATTTTACAATATGATTTATTTACAATATAATTTATAATGATTATAATCATAACCTTGTCTAATCATGATTACTGGTACCTCCAGGCATATTATCCTATATTACGTAAGCATTTAGTATTACCGTTTTTTTTCAACTGCTTATACATATTTTCAAAACTTTGCCTCTTTTTTTTCAACACTTTACACACAAATCCAAGAATTGCACACACAAAATGCAAAATGCCTCACATCTCTTACAAAATGAAGTCAAGTCAAGTCATCTTCATTTATATAGCGCTTTTAACAATGGAGATTGTTTCAAAGCACCGCATTCAAAATATCACAAACACATCTCAAAAGCAAACATTTGTCTTATGTTGCAAATACCTTTGCCATAATATTATATTTTTGGATATATCAGATACACACAGTTATTCAAAACCTAAAGCTCTTCTTTCATGAGCTCCTGTTCATTTCTGTACAAGATTGAAAGTAATTGGCAGAGAGATGTTGAAAATTTCACAGTAAACTCGAAAGCAAGATTGAAACCAAACTATTTCTTTTTTTACTGTAAGCATTTGTGGTTGTGAATACACAGTCCGAAAAAACTATAAGTTGACCTTTGGCCTATTTATAGGCCTATTCTAAAGCCATGATTGGTTGGTGTTAAGTAAAGCAATGAGTGTTTGCACATGTGAGGAGTTAGTGTGAGGCACTGATGAATTAGTGTGGTATTTTGATAGGTTGTGTTTGAAGAAGGAAATCAAGATACTTTATGTTAGATTTATGTGTGTTACATAGAGAATTGTGTGTTGTGGTTTGCAAAAAGTGTTTTATGAAATTGAAAACTGAGCCGAAGGCCGAGAATTGGTGTATGGTTTTGTAGATTTGGTGTGTGGTTCTGGTGTTTGATTGTCAGGTTTTTAATTGTGTGACAAGTAAGGATTGTGTGTGTACGCAGTTGAAAAAAAAACAGTAAAAACTGATCCATTATTTTCTGTAAAGAGCCTTCACATAGCTTCTTTGCTCTGAAACCAACCATGTAATGATGCGGTTTGAGAACATGGACGTGACTATTGTCAAGGATCTGAGAAACACTCACTCCCTCTGCTGGTGAAGGGAAGATGTCCTGGGATGTTTAACGCCTCCACACCAGCTGTTTTTATAGCAGCATTTTTTCCAAAGTAACTCTGACGCTCCTTGGAATGCAATATCCATGTTGTTTGTGAGATATACATATCCAAGCTAAAAATATCAATTCATGGTCTTATTTCTGTGTTGGCAGGTCAATGCAGATCCATTTAAATTCATACAGTCTGAGTCTGCCACAACTGTCTTTAGACTCCCCTAGTTTTCACGACACATATTCAGCGCAATGTAATTCTGCTGCACTGAAGGGCATCAGAGTGCAAATGTCATAAGTGTGATTTTATTGAAACCCACCCCTCATACACACATAAATACACAGGGGGCATTAAAAGGTCAGACTTAGTCAGACGGGCCCTGGCATTGATCGCTGAGTCTAATAAAAGAAATGGGCCCCAGCCGCCCTCTTAACTAACAGTCTGAAGCTTGACAACTAACAGCTCAACACCTAGTTTATAAGAACAAGGTGATAGACGTGCGGTTGAAGGCTCGGTTATGTGCAAAAGAGTGAAAAGACAGCTAAAGTTACTGACACATTTCTATCAAGCACCTTTATAGATATTTGATAACACATGGGACTCTGGTGAAGGCTGATGATGATGTCATGGAAATGGAGGATGCTGATTGGAGAGACAGGGATCCAGGGGAATCTATAAAATAGTTATTGAAGGGATCGAAGCAAGAGGGGGAGAGAAGACTCAATATTGAACCTTCATCTTCTCAGTGAATCCTGCTGTTGAGAAAGGTGAGGAAATGTGGAAAGGATGTGTTTGTGATGGATCGGTTTAGGATGAGGAAACGGGCATCATCACATCATGATTTATATGATCTCGCCTATTTGGTGCATTTTACTACATTTAACTTTTATTTTTGGAATTTTTTCTTAATCTTAATGTTTTTTGTCGTCTTGTCTGAAGCTTGGTCTCCACTTACACTAATAGATGATCTTCTGTATAGTGTAGTGTCATAAGTCTTTTTGCCATGCATAATTATTGATACATGATTATATATTATAGAGTTTTAGGATGTTTTAAATATCCGTCTAGTTATAACACAAATACTCTTTTGCTTCTTTCTGTTTTGCATGCAGCAAATTTTAGCAGTTCAATGAATTGTAATCATATCTTTGCCCAATATTTTCATTCTTAATCACAGACTTTGTAACTTTTTTTTTTTTAATTATTATTATTAACAGACTGTTCCGATTCAACTTTTTTTGGTCGGGCACTTAGTTTAGGTGATTAGCACATTGTACGTTTCCAGGATCAGTGAATAATGCATTGATGACTGGGATTATTTGCCTGCTATGAGAGTTGGTCCTCACAAGGGGACTCTCCTTGGGGACATGGTGCCCCCGTGGTCAGAAATAGCTACATTATTTCCATCTACCATCTCTTTGACCTTTTCTAAAGGAACATCAGTGGTGAACATGTGCCACAGTCTGGCAGGACCATCCCAGTGAATCCAAAGTCAAATCCTAATCAAAGATCTCCTATTAGTCTGATTATGTTTACTCACAGTTATGCTGGTCACAGTTCTGTGTCCATCTTTCAGATGCAGATTTGGATGTGGCTGATTCTGTCTGGTGTGTTCACGGTCACCTTGTCTTACTGCAGTGGCTTAAGTCTTCAACAGAAGGTAAAAGAGACCAGCTGGGAATGATGGTTTCCGCCAGTCCTGATGAACCTTTCAAATGTGTCTCTGGTAGGAATTAATCAAAGTGACGATTTTATTCTTTTTGGGGGTTTTGTTTTGACCTTAGAATCGAACTAAACTCTTGGCCAGAGAGACTGATGTTGCTGATCAAGGTCAGTTTGAGAACGGAACAAAAGTGCAAGGAGTTCACGAGAAGATCCCGGGCTTCAGAACACCCCTTGACCCCCTTTCCAGGAGTTTCATGAAAACAAAGAAAGATAAAAAGAGGTACTATCCAAAAGGGATTTCATGCTTTCCTCTGCAAGAGTGAGTATGCAAATACATGTGGAACACGGAGGTGTTGAAATTAACATGGAGAAAAGATCGACTTCCGGTCAATCAGCTGACTGATCTTACTGTTGTGGAGAAAGCGTTTCCTCGCAACTTCAGTCATCCTCCATGAATAGAGTTATCACTATGGGGATTCTAGACTGGACAGCAGAGACAACTGCTTTGGTCTATGAATAAAACAATGGATCAGTTTAATGTGATCTAATTATCACCAGGGGACATATCATCTACAAATGTATAACAGGGCTCTAGTTCCTTGGAAACAATGGAAACATGTTCTTGTTTCCTGAGCTACAGTACAACAGAATACAACAGTTATTACAACTGCAAGGCATATTGGCACTGAGTGACCTGAAATAATGATGTTAATTAAGAATGTAAAATATGCGATCATATCAATGTTTTTAATATATCATTTGGGATCATACAACTTCTCAAATTTCATTTCCTTCCTCTAGGCAAAGCAAAACTCCTCAAAAATGGCCTGGACAAAAAGGTGCTGTAGAGCAGATGATGTCTGGAGAGAGCAGCACTTTTACAGTTATCAGGCCAGGAGACACAGGCTCTATTGACAAGGCTCAGCTTGGAGAAAGCAGTCCAGCGCAGCCACCAAGGACCAAACCCAACGGCCGCATGGATGTTTCGACATCTGACAGAAATCCCACTCACCATGCCAGAATGAGAGGTTCAAATAAAAGAGGCCATTCAGGAGGATTTGGTCTCCCAATTGATCGCATAGGTCTGGGACGTTTACCACGTGGAAGAGGCTAGAACAATACAATCTCTGTGTTTTAAAGAAGTGTCTTTGTTTTTTTCTGCAAACGTCTATGTGATGTGTAGGCTATTTCTAAATTGTCTGAATATGGATCTGGTCAAAATAACCTGATATTATTAGTGTTCATGAGGAACAGTAAATGCTGAAAATGAAAGAAAAAAAACATTTACTTCATGTGCATCCTTGTTATTTTTATGTAAAAGATGGTCTCTTTCTTTTGTCAATCATATATCACAACTGTGATATTGTAAAGGAGAAATCGGGCAGGTGACTTAACAACAATTAGAAATGAGCTTCAGGGGTGATCATAACACAGTAGAATCTTTGTGGATTCACAGGACAAACAAGTCTGAGGTAAGAAAGTAAAATGTCACATGAGGTGTATTTTTGATTATGAATGTCAAATGGTGTCATGGGGCCTCGTTTATAAAATGTTGCGCAGAAACCATCCTATATATTTGATCTTATGATCATTTCTCAAATGTGCGTATGTGTGATTCAGAGATATGAATATGAAAAAAACATGTGGGGCAAAAAAAAAGGGCCTACGCCTTTCTTCCAGATGTGAAAAAAAAATGTTCTTGAAATTGTGCACAGCTGGATATTTTTTAATGTTTATAAATAAACGTTGGTGTGTATTTTAGTGTATGCACGTTCTAAGTTCACATCTGTGCGTACGCACGTTTTATAGGCTAAATGAGACGTCAGATTCTGTTTTCAAAAAAAATGTAATATAAAGGCTGGAATCACAAAGACGGCACAAAATATCAGGGCAGTGTAAAAATTTGCCACGTGATATAGGTCTCAGCAAATAATAGCACGGTTATACTTAGCCTATCAATTAAATATTTCGGTAACACTTTACAATACGGGTGCAATAAGCATTAATTCATGCTTAACTAATGCACAGATAATACTGAATTACTGTGTAACTAATGATTATCTAAGCTATTCATCAATGATTACCACATTAGGAACTAATTAAGAGTCTGTATGGTTAATGTATTAGTTCATACATTAATTGTTATTAATTAAATATGTAATTGTGGATTAATTCCCTAATAATTAATCCACAATTACATATTTTTTACATATGTTGATATTTAATATTCAACAATATTATTGAACTGTGTTGTACTACTTTCATGTTATCACTGTGAAGCTGCTTTGATGCAATCTGTATTGTGAAAAGCGCTATATAAATAAATGTGACTTGACTTGACTTAATAACTCATTTTTTTAACTAATAGTGTTAATTACCAGAATGAGCCAAAGCCTTGTATTTCAACTTCCAGATAATACAGGTACACTAATATGCATTAATACATGATTAATTACTTCATTGTTAGTCCAAATTCATGTGTAAATGACTACAATTACTAAATGACTAGTTAATAATGATGTGCCTCAACAAGTAAAGTCACAACATAATTACATATTTGCAAACCATTAGCTAATGATTAATTTATCATTAATGACCATCACTAGAGTTTATAAAAGCTGTTTATTAAACACTTTCCAAAAACACATTTCCATAAAATATTACGGTATCACTTTACCCATAACCATAATTGTTACAGAACGAACCAGAGGAGAGACGTACAGATCCATTCGCAAGGCTTTATTCCAAAAACGTAGTCTTAGTACAGGCAAGGTCAATGAACAGCAGACAGGTATGGCAGAGGCATAGCACAGAGAAACCCTAAGGGCAAGCGTGGGTCGACGAGGTGCAAACAGAATCCGAAGGGCTAGGCTGAGGGAGAATCCAAGTGACACAGGCAGGAATCAAAACACGAAGGACAAGGCAAGACTACAGTTCAATGGAAGGCTCAGTAAGTAGCTAACACTTGGGGAGTGTTAAACGCTGACAATACAGTACAAAGAAACAATATCCGGCAACAGAGAGAGGAAGTCCAAGGGTTATAAAGGGTGTGTGATGGTTCTCAAGTGTGAGCGTGATTAGTGGAATCAGCTGTGTGAATCGTCAGTGCAATGAATGATGGGGATTGTAGTGAAGTGCAAGAGTCCATGCTGTGAGTGGGAGACCTCTGGTGGTGAATGTCCGGAAGTGAATGGACCAGATACGTGACATAGCCCCCCTCCAATGAGCGGCTTCCAGACGCTCCAATAACATCCAAGGCGGGACGGAGACAAAGATCCTCACAGCGGAGCAAAAGACCACCAGAGCAGAGCAGGCTGTGCAGGCGACCAGGGCGGAGACGACCCCTTGGGGATCCTTCTGGCGGCCACGGCGGAGAGGATCCTTCTGGCGGCCAGGGCGGAGAACACCCCTCAGGTGGTCCTGGCGGAGAGGATCCTTCTGGCGGCCACGGCGGAGAAGACCAGAGAGTAATAGGAACCGACACCGACTCCGGAACAGGAACAGACACTGGCTCTGGAACAGGAACTGGCTCCGGAACAGGAACAGACATGGGCACAGGAACAGACACTGGCTCAGGAACAGACACTGGCTCTGGCTCTGGAACAAACACAGACATTGACACAGGAACAGAGACAGACACAAACACTGAAACAGACGCTGGCTCTGGCTCAGGAACGGCAGACACTGGCTTCGGCTCAGGAACAGCAGACACCGGCTCGGGAACAGCAGACATCGGCTCTGCGGACGTGACGCGTAGCGTCTCTGGCTGTGCGGACGTGACGCGGACAGTCTCTGGCTGTGCGGACGTGACGCGGACAGTCTCTGGCTGTGCGGACGTGACGCGGACAGTCTCTGGCTGTGCGGACGTGACGCGGACAGTCTCTGGCTGTGCGGACGTGACGCGGACAGTCTCTGGCTGTGCGGACGTGACGCGGACAGTCTCTGGCTGTGCGGACGTGACGCGGACAGTCTCTGGCTGTGCGGACGTGACGCGGACAGTTTTTGGTTGTGCGGACGTGACGAGGACAGTCTCTGGCTGGACGTGGCTGACGTGAAGCTCTGGCTGGACGTGGCTGACGTGAAGCTCTGGCTGGACGTGGCTGACGTGAAGCTGTGAAGACCCTGGACTGGACAGGACCAGTGGTGAAGGTTCTGGATGGGTAACAGGGCTGGACAAGAATTCATAAATAGTCGCCTCTGACACCTCCAAAGGTTCTGCAGCAGATGCCGCCACCTCTGGAGGTTCTACAGTGGTAGCATCAAGAATCTGGTAAAGTTCATTAACAAGACAGGTACCGTGCTCATCTATGGTTCCTTTGACCCTGACATGACAGGCTGAGAGGACATTGCTGGGCGCAACCACCATACAAGGGGCTGAAGCGAACACCGCCGCTTCAAGAGGTTCTGCAGCTCGTGCCGCCACCTCTGGATTAACTGCAGCGGGTTCCTTAGCCTGGGGCAGTTCTGAGGTGGTATACGCAGCCCAAACGCAACATAGAGCGATCCCCATCATGGGAAGCGCTTCTGACAGGGTAATCAGTGCAGGATCAGAGGGATCAAAGTGAGTGGGTTTGGGGATACCAGCTGTGCGTGCAGAAACCAGTGGTGCATCCCTCACACTGGAAACCAGACTGGGAAATCGAAGCACTGACCTTGAATATCTGGGTGTGGCAGACAGGACGTGAGAAGATTCTGGCTGGTCAGTGGTGACATGACGAGACTCTGGAAAATCAACTGTGACTTGGCTTGACTCGTGACGATCAACTGTGACTCGGCTTGACTCGTGACGATCAACTGTGACTCGGCTTGACTCGTGACGATCAACTGTGACTTGGCTTGGCTCGTGACGATCAACTGTGACTTGGTGGGGCTCTGGAAGATCTGCTGAGACGTAACATGGCTCTGGAAGATCTGCTGAGACGTAACAGGGCTCTGGAAGATCTGCTGAGACGTAACAGGGCTCTGGAAGATCTGCTGAGACGTAACAGGGCTCCGGAAGATCTGCTGAGACGTAACAGGGCTCCGGAAGATCTGCTGAGACGTAACAGGGCTCTGGAAGATCTGCTGAGACGTAACAGGGCTCTGGAAGATCTGCTGAGACGTAACAGGGCTCTGGAAGATCTGCTGAGACGTAACAAGGCTCTGGTGCGGCTGCCATTATAGGCACGGAAGGAATGGTGCATTCCTCTGCGAACCCCACAGTGAAAAACGACCCTGTTAATAGTAGAGCATAATCTAAAAAATGACTGAGCGATGTACGAGGACCCTCATGGATTAATCGAGATCTTAAGGGTTGATTTATGCCGTCACAAAAAAAGTCAATGAGAACGCAATCAGGCAGATCAGAAAAATATGCTAACTCCAAAAACTCATGAATATATACCTCTAGCGGTCGCTTACCCTGTTCTAGGGCTAGTAACAGTCTTGCAAGGTTAATACCTGACCAGTGTTCTTCCGAAAAGCCGCTGGATCCTTGTTTGGCCGGATATTCTGTTACAGAACGAACCAGAGGAGAGACGTACAGATCCATTCGCAAGGCTTTATTCCAAAAACGTAGTCTTAGTACAGGCAAGGTCAATGAACAGCAGACAGGTATGGCAGAGGCATAGCACAGAGAAACCCTAAGGGCAAGCGTGGGTCGACGAGGTGCAAACAGAATCCGAAGGGCTAGGCTGAGGGAGAATCCAAGTGACACAGGCAGGAATCAAAACACGAAGGACAAGGCAAGACTACAGTTCAATGGAAGGCTCAGTAAGTAGCTAACACTTGGGGAGTGTTAAACGCTGACAATACAGTACAAAGAAACAATATCCGGCAACAGAGAGAGGAAGTCCAAGGGTTATAAAGGGTGTGTGATGGTTCTCAAGTGTGAGCGTGATTAGTGGAATCAGCTGTGTGAATCGTCAGTGCAATGAATGATGGGGATTGTAGTGAAGTGCAAGAGTCCATGCTGTGAGTGGGAGACCTCTGGTGGTGAATGTCTGGAAGTGAATGGACCAGATACGTGACAATAATTACATATTACTTAACAATTAGTTAATAGTCATGTGCCTCAACTAGTAAAGTCATAACATAATGATACCTTTGCAAATCATTAGCTAATGATTAATTAAAGCAGACAACTGGAAGTTGAAGTGCATAGCTTTGACTAATTGTGGTAATTAACACATTCATAATAAAATATGTTATTAAGGAATTAATACACAATGACACATTGAATTAATAGCAATTCATGTATTACTTCATCTATTAATCATATAGACTCTTTATTAGTTGCTGATGCAGTAATAATTAATTAATGGTT